TATTAATATATATATATATATATATCTATTTATATAATATAATATATATATATATATATATATATAGATACACGCATATATATATATATATATATATGTGTGTGTGTGTATGTGTGTGTGTGTCGTTGTATTTATGTGCGTGTGTGTGTGTATATGTGTTTATGGATATATATATATATATATATATCATAAGAGAATTTGATATATGTATGTACATGGAGATATCTGTACATATCATAATATACCCCTGGCTACAAGAATACTTCTAACGATACTCACCGCACTTTTCTCGACGCAGATATTCTCGAAGACGCACACATCGTGCTCACACTCTACTTTAGCCTCTCCCATCCTATCTAACGTTGTCATGGTTACCCTTCCACTTGGCAAAATACCAAATTTCTCCTGTGACTTTATTGTACGTACTTGTGTAGAGGTGAACAATTGGCGAACATCTCGACCATTGAACACTACCATTTGTACCGCAACGACTGCAGCTACTGTCACCACTGCCCGGACAACTTTGAGAAAGGAAAACGAGCTTATTGCCTTCATTTTGGAATATATATATGTGTGTGTATAATTATGTTGTTCTGATAAATATGTATATAAATAAAGTGATCAATTTGATAAATAAAGTGTCAATAAAATGTATGCTGTATACGTGTGAATACACTATTTGCTTTTGTGTATATTGTAGTGTATACAGATTTGAGGTTTTTTGGTTTGGCGATACTTATTGAATAGCCTTGCACTGATCGACTATGGCGCGGGCTTAATCGATTGGTTAGGTAATTATGTTTTTGAGTATCGTTTACATAGATTTCGCCTGTGTACGGATGTCTCTGAATATACCAATACATCTAAAAACGGGTGTATTGATCGAACGCACCACTAGATACACTTTAAAACTTCGATTTTCTGATGTTTTCAATACGCTGCTTGATGGTACTTTGTACAATAACATAAATAGAAAACGTACATCTACTAAGCATATATCCATAACTACATCCGTAAGAATATTATGTTGAACGATGTGTGCGTTATTGTGTATCCAACCCTTACACGTGTATGTATGGTCGTTTAAAAAAACATACAACTTCACATCTACACTTTCCAGCTGTCGAAAAGAAGTTGTATAAAAAGCCGAAACTTAATACGTTGCCAAGGTAACCGCTTCTGTAAATTTAATCCTATCCAATTCTATATATATTTTCATAGCCTTCTATTTTTTTAATGAAACATTTGTCTTTCTTCAAAACAAATACTGTACATTTGTAAATATTTAAAAAATACACATCCTTGGTATTCTAAATATAAAAATACATATGTATTTACATACCATACATATATATATATATATATATATATATATATATATATATGTATATATGTATTCAAAAAAATTGAACAAATCATAATCTCCTAAAAATCAAACAACTAGAAGGCATATATAAATATTCAGAAAAACTGTCGGATGATTGTTCGAAAATGGTCTTCACAACTCTCACTTTTTTTATAAGAAAAAACAAAACACATGTGGAAGGTAACAGCTTTTGCGTCTCCTAAATGAATATGTCTCTCACTGTGCCTCTACAGAGAGCCTATACTACTTAATAGTAAATTCTATGTACTACTACTCTAGTAGTGAGAGAGAGGCCTGTCGTGAGTGGTGACTCGTGACTCCGGAGTCGCGAGTGCCATCCCACTATGTATGTATTTATGTAACATTGTAACCGGTATGTATTATGTAAAAGTATTTATAACCCCATTTTCACAATCCACAGTCCACACACAACAACAGAGCTGTCAGAGTGTCAGCTGTGACTTCTGTGAGTCAAATAGTCTGTGACTGGCTGGCTGCTGTGTTCCACTGTTCTCGCTGTACTGACTCTTCTCTCACGGCTTCTATTTTGTAATGTATCATTTTAGAGCATTTCTATCATACATATGCGCACGCCGTACAATGTAAATACAGTGAGAAGCAATGCAAATACAGTGAGAATATACTCGCAGTAAATACTGTCTCGCACAGCCGCACATACAGGTCACAGACAGTTTCACAGACTCACGGTATTATATATTTATAAACACATTGGACTGGAGACAGTGGAGAGTGAAAGAGATAGAGTGAAGACTGAAAACTTGTGTGGAAAGGCCTTGCTTAATTGCCTTTTTTTAAACCCGTGAACTTCTCTTGTGTGTGTGAACTGTGAAGTCACAAGGAATATATATATAATTTTCGAACCAAAAAGAAAAATAAATACTTGGGATGTGGCCATGTGGGACTTGGGATTTATTAGGACTTGGGTAAACTTGGGACTTAAATACATAGGAGTTAGGACAAGCTTCCGCCTTCGGCTCCCCCCCAGCTCCCCCTCCCGTAATCCCCACCTCCACAGGCTCCTCACTCCACAGTCCACATTACACGGTACGCACTGTACGCAAACTTATTAATTTAGAGGACTATGCTTCAGACTTCAGAGTTCAGTCATCCGTGTGACAATTGTGTCCACTCCACCACAGAGCAGTATCCAGTGATCCAGTCTCCACTTTCCACTCTCTCCACCTCTCCACACTCCCCAGTCCCCAACCCTTCACTCCCCACTCCCCAGTTGCCAGTTGGGCAGTTTCACATTTCGGTAATGTCGTGATCTGATGTCATCAGGTCGTCACACATATTTTGACCTGGATAGTGCTCACAATGTTGAACTGTATATATTCAGATTATATCATTCGTTAGTAGACAAAAAATCCTTCTGGCTCAATAGCCTCCCTATAAGGCCTGTTCGGCTGGTTAAAGCCTATTATATTTTATTGAAATTTGAACTTTGTATTTTATATAAAAAATATCCCAAAACAAATACATCAGATTGATACTTTCTAAAAACAATCAATTGGTTTCTTTTTGAAAACAAACAAAACTAGTCAAAACTCTATGTATATGTATATATATATATTATTTTTTGTTTTTAAAAAAAAATATAAACACTTTTTAATATATTTAAAAAAAAACAATAAGGGGTAAATTTTTGAATGATTTTTATGATATATTTTTTTAACAAATAGTCACATGTACATACATATATATATATATATTTATATTTATACTTAAATATATATATTTATATATATTCATATATATA